AGTCCTCGGAGGCGGTGGCCAGGGGCCGAAGGCGGGCCGGGACTACATTTCCCAGGAGCCCCCGCGCCGCGCCCGCCCACGAGGGCGACCGGGCTTTAGTCTCCGCCGCGGTTCTCGGCGGCGGGTCCGTAGTCTGAGGCGCGGAGCGTTCCCTGGGGAGTGGGCTGGCCGCCGGCGCTCCCCCAGCACGCGGCACGTACTAGGACGGACGCGTGCGTGGCCGGCAGGGGGCGAGCGCGGCTTAATGTCGGGGCGCTGGGGGGGGGGGGGAAGGAGAGGGGGCGGCCCCGGGGAGTACGTGCGCGTGCGCGGTATGGGCGGGGCGCGACCCCGGGCCGCGGGGCCGGGCGCGCGCGTGACGTCAGGCGAGGCGGCGGTGGTGCTGCGCGCCGTGCCGGGCCGCGGACCCCGCTGTCGCGCCGCTCGGGTGGGCCGCGCCGCGCGGTGCCGGTGAGCGGGTTCGTGGTTCTCCATCGATTCTGTCGTTGCTGCTGCCTTTGTGACGGGATCGCGTCCCCCAGCGAACCTCCTAGTTGCTTATCGCAGGTAGATACGCAAGTGCTGAATTTTGTGTATTTGCTTCGTAATCAGACACACATGGATTCCTTTAGTAACATTGCAGTGCATTAACTTTATTTTTCTAGGCAGTCGGCAGTTTCACGGAAAAACAATTTGGTCTCGACGGTGGCTCTTGCCCCCCTGCGTGAGTCGGTCCCTCCCCGCGGTCGCGGCGGACGCTTCCGGCCTGGGAGGATGACGGCCGCGCACCTGGCAGCGACGCGCGGGGGGCGGCGGCGGTGGCAAGTTCGAACCCAATCCTCTGGGTGAGGCGAGATGGGGTTCTGCTCTTCCTCCGCACGTTGTCTTCCTCGCGGAGGATGGATGTTTTGTGTTTTGCATATGGCTTTTCCAGCGTCTGTGGAAGTGATTGTGCTCTCCTTTGTTAGAGTAGAAAATTTAATAGTAGAAGTCTCACGTTCCTAGGAGCAACTCAGCGTGTCCTACTGGTTTTAAAAGTTAAAAAATATATACTCTCCTGTATTCCATTCGGAAGTGTGTGTCACATGCATTGATGAATTAGGGCTGCTTTTAGTAAGTACGGTGTCAGGAAGATGAGGATAGATTTCTGTTTCTTGGTCTAATCTAAAAATACTCATTTAAAAAAAAACTTTGTGCTTCTCATTGAAGTTATTTTGGCAGTATTTTTTCTCAAAATTGCCCTTCTCATCTGTATTTTCAGTTGTTTAGGGTAAAGCAGGTTTGTGTGTGGTCTTCTGAAAACTAATTCTGCACCTCTAGCTTCTACCCTTCTCAGCTTCAGTTTTTTTGTTTTGTTTTGTTTTCTTTCTTTAGTCACATAGATTGGAGGTATGTTTGTGTGTATAGCCTACTTTATTAATTTTCAGGTACAGCTCATAAGTTTAATTATCACATTTTTATTTTCCCTCAATGCTGGATTTGTCAGATTAGTTGAAATGATATATACGCCAGCTAGCATGTAGGATGAGTATCAAAGATCAAGTTTGTTTATAGATCTCAAAGTGTATGAAGAAGGTGAAGAATTTCAACTCTAGCTCTACATTAATAGTGGAAGGAGGCTGTTAATTTTAGAAAAGGAAATTAAAGGGAAGGCAGGATGTCAAAGTGTTAGTTAGGTTAGAGATGTTGACTGCAGTTACTTGTCTAATAACTGCATAGCATACCTCCTCTCTACCCCTTTTTAAACCAACTCAACACTACACTATATTTTTTTCTATGACTTAACTAACCTTTTTCTCTTCTGTTTCATTAAAATTGTCCCTCCACCTTGCAAAGCCTCTTGGATGGTGAGTTGCACACACTCCTGCCTCTTTTTGAAAATGATTGATTTGTTTTTCATTACTTCTCTCAGAACATATTTCTTGAGCAATTAGTATGTTTCCGTCACAAGAACAAGGATTTGAGAGTCACATCATAAATTAAATAATAACATATGCTAATCAGTATTTTATGAAAGCTTGTCTGGAAATTTTGCCTAGGACGATGTTTAAATAGATATGAAGCTTACCTTCAGGAAAAGATAACAGAATCATTATTAATTAAGCCCTCAAAATTACCAACAATACCATCAATTATCATCAATAATTTATTGTAAAGTTACTGAAAAGGAAATAACAGTAACAAGTTTTGTTTAGAAAAAAAGTCTATCCACAATAGGAAAAAGCTATCTAATATTAATTTGAACTAAAAATATATATGAACTATATTAGAAAAACTGCAAAACCGTACTAGGTGATGTGAAAGAAGAATAAAGGATGAGTAAGAATGAGAACATTTCAACATTTCTGTTATAGATTAAATGCAAATATCAAGAAAGCCTAACTGGGAATTTTTTTTTTTTTTTGGGATTGAAGTCTTATTCTGTTACCCAGGCTGGAGTGCAGTGGCACACTCATGGTCACACCAGTGTCGACCTGCTGGGTTCTGGGGATCCTTCCACCTTAGCCTTCCAAGTAGCCAGAACTACAGGCGCACGCTACCACGCCTGGCTAATTTTTGATTTATTGTGGAGACAAGGTCTCGCCAAGTAGTCCTGGCTGGTCTTGAGCCTGCGGGCTCAGGCAGTCCTCTCGCCTCGGCCTCCCAAAGTGCTGGAATTACAGGCTGAGCCACCGAGCCTGGCCAGGAATTTTTTTGTTTTAAGAACTTCCATGTACCCTGTACCTTTATGCTTCTTAAAAATGTTCCGAAGTGGCTCGTTTCTTCACAGTCTGTTAAGGATAAAGTGTTTTTATTAAAGTAAAAACACTCCTAGAAATGATGGATTTCCTTAGTTTCCATCAAATGATAATTCAAGTGCCAACATCTTAGTAGCATATAGCTTAAATAACATTCCAGGTTTTTAAAGACATTGTTTTAAGGAAAAAGAAGTTTCATATTGTTCATGCATCTGTTGTGCTTACAATACTTTTCATTGGCAGCACTACTTCTAGCATGTCTCATGTCAGCCAAGGCTCTTAAATGTTCTGGCTATGAAGCAAAGACGGAAATTGATATGGAATAGGTCATCTTTGTTGCTACATGTATCTCTCTGACTCAGAACGAACATCCAGGGGTATCATTTTTGCCTCTTTCTACAAAATATCTCTCTGCTGCCTGATTATGAAAAATTTTGAACGTTTAGCTAAATTAAAAACTTTACAGTGAAAACTTATAACCTTTCCCATCTAAACTGTACCATTAACATTTTACCATACTTAATCTTATCACGTGTCCCTTTTATCCATCAGTCCATTGTATTTATTAATTTTAAAGTAAATTAATTTCAAAGTACATTTTGCTGTAAAAACTTTAGAATGTATGTGTATTATTAACTAGAATTCAATATTTGCTTAGTTTTATCTTTTGATGTAAAATTTATATAAAATGAGAGGCGCAAATTTTAAGATTACATTTGCTGTTTTGATAGATGCAGGATCCTTGCCTTTTGTGTCTTTAAATATATCTTTGCCATCTCTACTGGCTACAGAGTTTTAACTTTGTGGCTGCTGGTTCCTTTTTGCAAATCATTCCTTGCCCTTTTCAGACGCCAGATATTGGGAAACATATTCAGAATTTGAAAAGACACTATTCTCTTGTATTAAGAAACATACACTTCATATTTCTGAGTGAAATGCTGTTCCTGACTGGTCTTGCACATCATTGTGGGTGCGGGTTTAGTGCAGGCAAATGCCAAGAATGAGTGAATATAAAGTGCAAAGCACTATGCTTGCCTTTTCCCCGGGTTTAGAATGAGATTGTCCTGATTCTCAAGTTCATCATTTCATAAAGGAGACAGTCAAATGAATATTGGTAGTGTAAGGAAAGAGTGTTGAAGTGCTAGAGTAGGGCAGAGTGCTCCATGGTGACTGGTGAGGGATCCATTGAGTCTGTAGGAGACAGTGGGAAGACTTCATGGCAAAGATGATGTTTAAGCAAGGTGCAGTGGCTCCCGCCTATAATCCGAGCACTTTGGGAGGCTGAAGTGAGAGGATTGCTTGAGCCCATGGGTTCGAGACCAGCCTGGGCAACTTGGCAAGACCTCATCTTTACAATAAATCAAAAAATTAGCCAGGCGTGG